GATTTACCATTTTAAGCTTATTCAGTGGGTTTCAAATTCACGGTTTTATCATTTAGATAATGTGTTCTATGCTAAATTTTACTTATTCGCTGGGTTTTAATTTAGTGCATTTTCCAGTCAGCGAAATAAGCAAAATTAAAACCCAGTGAATAATTAATCTTTTTACAGTATGTGGAACTACAGACATAAATGAGGTATTTTGTTTCCTGTATAGTAGAGACAGTGTACTCAAATGTTTGTTATATATACTGTATATACTGTAAAATATTTTCCTCTTGATATTTATTTTCGCTATAGGGATGATTCAGTGAATATAAAATCCAGCGAATATACATTTTTCCCCCATATTTTTACATCCAATTCTCTCCATACAAATCATCCAAAAGTCTTTTCAACATGAATTAAGTCCAGCTAAAATGAACTTTTTTACAGTATATTATCAGAGGTACATTACTTGGGGTTTGCAACTCGCATAGTACTGTATGGTGACATCTTGTCAAGATCCCATTCAAGTCTCTTCTCTTAGATAGCGAGACTGAGGCTACGACCTTCTGACATGACAATATCAATGTTCAAGGTTTGTAATGAAAAAATAAAACTTTTCTTGCCACTATCGTAGTGAAAAATGTAATACATCGAAAATGTACAGAAAATATAGTTCTCGTAATCCGTCATATCGTGGGCAGCTATTTTTGATCCACCTGGACATCCTAGTATCCTAGTTACCGCGGGCATGCGCATTCGCATTTTTCTGAGTAGGAACGCTTATGCGAGAGCGAGATTGTAACAGGATTTTGGTATCATGTCACCGTAGTTGCAAACCCCAAGTAATGTACCTCTGATATTATAAGGTTATTACAAAGATACCTCAAAGTATGCACGAAGACAGTACAGCGGCAGTATCGACCGACGCACAGCGGAGGTCGATGCGACAGCGTACTGTCTGAGTGCATACTTTGAGATATCTTCGTAATAACCTTATTATTATACATCTTTTCCTACCAAGGATACATCATGGGAATGCCAAAATCTAAAAAGTTTAGAACAGAGTCAGCGAACTTCTTTGTATGGAGTCCGGTCAAATCCTGGTGGCAGCCATGTTTGTTTTTATTATTAGAGGACGCTTACGCGTGTAATAATTCTATATTTGGAATTCGCCTTTCCAAATATGGTAGTATGAAATTACCCCGTAAAATACCGCAAAATTACGGCTTGCTGTAACTTATGGCGTTACGGTGACAGATGTATAATAATATATATTATTTTGAATTTTATTTTACACTTGTGAATTTTCTTACATTTTTGTGAAACAATTTGTCTCATGAAAGTAAAAAAAACCTGAGATAAAAAATTAAACCATGAGGGAAAAGGTTTCATATCAATATCTGGTAAAAACAGTGCCATTGTTTTCATTTAGAAATAAAATAATTATTTTTCCTTTATTATTCAGATATTAATGAATGTGAAGATATAAATTTAAATGATTGTAGTGAGTTTGCTGATTGTATCGATAACAATGGGAGTTATACATGTTATTGTACTACTGGTTACCAAGGAGATGGAATACTTTGTACAGGTATGCTACTTCACACATACAGCCATGGTCAAAGCTGATGCATGTTAATATTACTGTTAATATTATTTTCACTGAAATTTCATTTAACTAATTTGCTTAGGTGAAACACTGCATGTATAAAACGACGTATTTAGTCCCCGTTTCAGGCGCAGGTAGTTTATTAACATTTCGAAAGATTATAAAATTCACTAATATTGCCATTTGTTTGTACCGTACTCGTCCACGTTAGCGCCCATGCCCGGGTCAAACGCCCACCCCCCACTTTTGCACAATTTTTATATTCGGGGTCACATTCGGCAAAGCTCCCACCCCTTCAAAATGCCAATAATTTAAAACTTGGTCTTTGATCATTGCTTAACGAATACTGGTAATCGTTTTTGTATCATGATACAGCGTGATATCGACTGCCTTGAATATGTTGTGAATGCGTAGACCACAGTCACTTGGGGGCTGAAAATCAATAAATACTAATTTAAAAAAAAAAAATCATCCGCTATACGTATATAAATAAACTAAATTTTAGAGGGGATCAGGTGTTACGTTAATACCCATTGTTCATAATCGCTAACTTGGTTTTATTCAAAACTGCACAAATCTTGCGTTTTCTGATGATATCAGACGATTTCATGAACGAAAATGGCCAGCAGCCAGAATCAAGGGGGATTC